GTATTATCGTTGGTGGCAATGCACTTGTTAACGCTTTTTTTAAACTAAATATGTTATAACAATGACTACCCAATATATCTATTGTTGTAGGGAATTTTTTTTATCTAAATCAATTTCAAAGTACAAATCAACGACTATATATGATTGCTTTAACCAATAACTCCCATCGATATACAGAAATGAAAAATTACCTAATCATGATTATTTATCACTCACTCATATTTAGTTAGAATTTTTTCGTTTTTTCTTTTCGAAACCAGAAAAAAAATCATACAATGTAAACGCGTGGTATTATTTATTAGTTTGTTGTTCAATAGTATGGGTGTGATAAAAAATCCTAATCAAAAAAAAAAAAAAAAAAAAATGTTAAAGTATAATAACAACAACAAAAATAAATAGAAGAACTTTATCATTTCTTTAAAATTCATTATTTAGTTTAGACACCTGCATTTAGGTATTTAGACAGTTATTTAATAGTTTTTTCAAAAATTTCTTTTAAGTTTTATAAGAATGGTGTACTTTCTTTAGATTAAATATTATTTATTGATTTTAGTTGTTTTAAAGAAATTTCAAAGACTGGTTGCTGGTTGTTTTTCGCTATTTTTTCAAAATTAATTGCTGCCGTTGCGTTTAGCAGGTGTTAAAAAGAAATCTAAAATTTATAATTCTGAAGAAAACTGAATTGTATTTAAAGTGTTTATTTCTAGATAATCTAAATTGTTTAGCCGGTTTAAAAACGATTTGTGCATATCATTTAATATAAATAAATTAATAAACTTTAATAAGTGCTAATTGTGGTATTGTTAATTTCAAATAAAAATTTATGAAGTGATTTAATCAAAAAATCCAAGAAAAAATTTTAAGAAAAAAATACTCAATAAAAATAAAAAATAAAGTATACCCCATATTTATAAAAGTTATAAAATTTATAAAACCGGCAACTTATTTTGCAAAAAAAAAATATAAAGTGGAAGCAAGCATAAACAACATGTGTTTTAAAGTGCAAAGTCCACTTTAAGTTAAAATTCTAAAATTTGCTGAAATACATACAAATTTTAAAATTCCACAAATTTGTCGCATAATTAAAAATTGGCAAAGATATTTGTCTTAAATATCTTAAAGGAAAAGATCAAAGTCTACACTATATCAAAATAAAGTCATATCAAAAAAAAATTCCAAAATTTGTATACGAACATAAAGTTGTAAAATTTCCGATATATAAGAGTTACTAATCCAGCTAAAATTTGGTAATGTCTACTAATTGTAACCGCTTACCTATTAACTTAAATTTTAATGACTTATTTTCTAATTACTTGTAAGCGTGTTAAAATGTTTATTTAAAATGCAATTGCCTAGAAAAATTAAACGATCACTTTAAAATCACTTTAAAAGTAACACTAAGTGATTTTTTTTACCTTCTGTGGAAGTGATGTTTAATGGCTTCCGAATAAGCGAAAATAATAAAATTTTTTTATGCTGAAGAGGCTTTTGTATTAAATGTATCTATTTCCCTCACAATTCACTTCCAAATAACTACCACAAAAAAGAACATAAAAACTACTTCTTCAGAATGACTTCAGAAGTTATGAACTTTTTTTTTATTCATTCTGAATGAAATGAATCAAATAAAAAGGAAATTCCTCCTATTACAAGCCTGTGTTAAAATCATCACTTCTGCAGGTCTTTTTCAGTACTTCCCTAGATTAAACTATATTTTATTTTCGCTTCTTTGGAAGTTCTTTTTTTGCTGGGTGTATAAGCAGTCGAAGTGCTGACATTATTTCACGGTATTACCACAGGTTGAGCTGATCTTATACACCTGTGGCAATTTTTGTACATGCCGGTCCATATACAAGCATTTTGCTCAAGTACTCGAGCTATATCTGACTATTGCTGCCCTATTCCTTAACTTCCGAGATGCTAAAACATTACTTCCGTTTACAACCACGTAGATGGTATGGCCTCTGTTGAGTTGGCAACAGCACCTGTTATATATACTTTTTATCCGAAATATACTTGTTATCCGAAAACTTGTACTTGTCTGTTATACGAAAACTCTGCCCTGTGGGTTACCGGTTCCTGAGTTACTAGATTATATGGTTATCGGCAAATAATTCAAAGGAAAGGTCTAGGATACATTTGATCAATACCAGTTTATGGTCCCGACAGACTAGAGATACTGGTAGCACCATTTTCCCCCCAGGATTGCAATAACAAGTGGAGGGACTATATTGTTAGTAAATTTTAACGTTTTGGGCAGGGATGGGGGGTAATGAATCCATTTTCAATTACAATTACATTTGAAGTAATCATAATTGAAGCTTTACTAATTACAATTATTTGTAATTGTAATTGAAGTTTTGCAAATTAAAATTACTTGTAATTGATGAATTTTTAATTACAATTACTTGTAATTGATGAATTTTTAATTACAATTACTTGTAATTGTGAATTTTTTTTCTTCTTACATGTAATTTGTAATTAGTTTTACTTAAATTTCAATTACAAGTAATTTAAATTGGAAACTTAAATTATAATAAGAAGTAATTGTAATTGGCAAAAATTTAATTACAATTACATGTAATTGTTATTAGTTATTGCTCAATTATACATTACAAGTAGCGTAGAAGGGGGACCATACGCCACTTTTTTTTTGAGGCGGCATCAAATGAAAACCACAATACATATTCTTTATTCTTTTCTTGGTCATCCTAATGTACATATTTTTTTAACTTTTCTGAACTGACCAAAAACGGCGATACCGCCCCATCCATGGGGTAAATACGCCAAGAGGATGGGGCAGATTTGTCATTAGTAAAATCAACCAAAAAATTTTAAAAATAAAAACTTATTTCGCTGTTTTATATTTTAATTCATTTAACAAAGTATAATAAACCAGATATTTATTGTTTATTTCACATAACTTAACAAAAAAAATTAAAACAAATTATTATTGATTTTTTCTATATTTTAACCAAATTTTGTTCTACATCACAAGCATTACATATATTTGGCGAATGTGCCCCACGGGCAATTCTGGGGTTTAGTTTCAATTTTTTTCGGGCTTCAGATTATATTCTCGAAAAAATTATTATGTCTTATTGTTCACTATTATTGACGTTCTATCACTGATCAATATATTTTTTCTATCACAAAAACTAAAAAAGTTAGCACAAAAAATTCACACAGTGAAATATTTTCACAGCCCTTTGAAAAACAATTAATCTCGTCTGCCTCCCATCATATATAAAGTTAATCTTTCAAACTTTCAGGGATGATAGATAATCGATAAACGAAAACAAAATTCGATAATGCGATAAAATCGATTACTCGGTTTTCAAGTTATTCGCTATTGGCAGATGTGCCCCTATGGCATATGATCCCCCTTCTACACTAATTGTAATTGACCATGTAATGAAAGTTTTTGCTGGGAAGTAATAATTTCACTTTCAATCAGAATGGAATTCTGTGACAAGGCCATAAAGTCCTAAAAGAAAAATACTCAAAAATATTCTAAAAACTTGATATTTGAGAGACAAATTATGGAATGATGTTCCCCCTTAAAGCTACCATTCTGCCATCTTGATCTAAGATTTAAATATTTAAGAACCTAATCTAAACCTCAACTAACCGTTGTCATTTAACTCAGTTCATTCACTTCATAAAGACAAAGCTCCGATATCAAGGTTCAATATATATGTATATTTGAATGAATGGTGGAAGACTTAAAAGGTCTTTAAATTAAATTTTATACCCAGTATTTTTAATTATTACAAATTTAATATGTTTATTGTCTATCGTATAACTTTACCACTTACAACCAATATCCGTCAAACTGTGAGTGCTATAAATATTATTTAGTATTTTATGATGCCGCTTACCGCTTATATACAATTATCTAATACTAATCTAATACTAAGTAGTATATTTTTAATTTCTTGAAATATTATCACATACATATTTTTTCTAAATTAAATTATATTTAAACTTTTTATTATTTTGTGATGTTTTAAACAAATTGGTCTTATAATTTTTAAGACAAGAACCTATTATTTTTATTTATTTCTGAATTCCAAAGTGTGCCAAAAATATAAAGAATAGTGCAAAATATTAAATATGTATAAATTTTGACATTCCTAGTTTGTGATTAGGTTTAGTTGATAAATCCGATTGGGTGCTAAATTTAGAGCTTTTTTCCAAGAATGCATTATTCATTTTGTGACATAAAATATGATTTATAGCAAGAATTGGAAGTAAAGGAATCTGTGAGGAATATTAATTAAAAATTAAATATTTTTGAATTCTATAAATTGAAATTAATAAGGAAGAGTTTTATAACAAAATTGAAATATTAGAAAAAATTAAGAGACATTTTTTTAAGATTTTTGTAGCATTATATGAGTTCTTAATATGTGTTATATACTCCCAGCAAAAACTTTCATTACCAAGTAAGGATTGAAACGGCTAAAAACTACTTACACAATAGCATTTTAAGTCATTATTTTAACACAATGATGTCACACAATACCAAGAGTAAGAATAAACATATACAGCTTCTATAGCTTCACGGATAAGATGACTAATTAATTAGAAAGTATTTATGTATATAATACATTATTAATAAGACATTATTAAACTACTTCTATGTAATCAAGTCGATAGTAGTTGTTGAAAAGTAAGTGGTTACAATTGAAAATCATTACCAAGTTACTCCGGAACTGTTTACTTTTGAAAAACTCTTCACTAAATCATGTTTTCTAATAAACAACTTTTAAAAGTTTTACTAAAAGAAACACAAGTTTTATTTTTACAAAATAAATATTTATTTAAAATTAAAATAATATTCTTAACAAATAAACTTTGCTAATTATTCTATAAAAACCTTTCTCCCCATTTTAAACAACTATTTAAAACTAATATTTACAAGTTTCTTTAAGTTGTTTATAATTTCTAATTACTTTTATAAACTAATAACTTTTTCCATTTTATTTTCTTTTCAGAACACAAACAACAGTTATAAATTTGAAAATATTCCTTGAAATCAAATCAACAAAACAACTCCCTCCCTTCCAAGTCGCCGGAAAAAATAAATTCAACTATAGTTTAGTTTTTTTATTATTATTGGGATTTATTTACTTTTTTTTTGTTAAATCCTGCTCTTCTCTAATCTAATCAATCGCAACTGATACCATATAAAATATAAGATAAAAACATAACAATGGCCTTAATTATGAAATACATAGACAGCATTAACAGATATATGGACTCACATGGCGGTAAGTTGTTTAATTTATATATATTTTTGTATATTTTGTTAAGAGATACGTTTTACCAATTGCATTACTTGTAATGTAATTTAGGCATTACTAATTAGTTAATATTAGAAATTACAAAATTTGCTAAAGCTTCAATTGCAATTACTTTTGCCAATAAACAATTACAATGATTTGTAATTGAAGTTTTTTCGATTACAATTATTTTTGATGTCTAAATGAGCAATAAACAATTACAATTATTTGTGATTGAAGTTTAACAATTAGAATAACTTGTAATTTAGGTATTACTAATTAGTTAATATTAGTAATTACAAGTAATTATAATTGCTAAAGCTTCAATTGTAATTACTTTTGCCGATAAACAATTACAATTATTTGTAATTGAAGTTTTTTCGACTACAATTACTTGTAATGTCGAAATTAGCAATAACCAATTACAACTATTTGTAATTGAATTTTAACAAATAGAGTTACATGTAATTTAGGTAATACTAACTAGTTAATATTAGTAATTACAAGTAATTGTAATTGCTTAAGCTTCAATTGTAATTACTTTTACCATTAACAATTACTTGTAATGTGTAGTTGATAACCAATTACAATTATTTGCAATTGTAATTTAAGTTTTGCCAATTACCATTACTAGAATTGCGTAATAGAGCAATAACCAATTACAATTATTTCTAATTGAATTTTAACAATTAGAGTTACATGCAATTTAATTAAGTAATATTAGTAATTACAAGTAATTACGATTGCTATAGCTTCAATTGTAATTACTTTTACCATTAACAATTACTTGTAATGTATAGTTGATAACTAATAACAATTATTTGCAATTGTAATTTAAGTTTTGCCAATTATCATTACTAGAATTGCGTAATGGAGCAATAATCAATTACAATTATTTGTAATTGAATTTTAACAATTAGAGTTACATGTAATTTAGGTAATACTAACTAGTTAATATTAGTAATTAAAGGTAATTGTAGTTGTTAAAGCTTCAATTGTAATTACTTTTACCATTAATTGTAATTACTTGTAATGTACAATTGTTAATTTACATTTATTTGTAATTTAAGTTTTGCCAATTACCAATACACGAATTGCGTAATGGAGCAATAACCAATTACAATTATTTGTAGTTGAAGTATACCAATTATATTTACTTGTAATTTATTAGTTAATATTAGTAATTACAAGTAATTGTATTGACATTTCGCCAAATGCAAATACCTGTAATATGTAATTGATAATCAATTACAATTATTTGTAATTATAATTAAAGTTTTGTCCATTATAAATACTTGTAATGCGTTATTAAGCAATAACCAATTACAATTATTTGTAATTGAAGATTTGTCAAAACAATTACTTGTAATGCGTAATGTAATGCAATAACAAATTACAATTATTTGTAATTGTAATTGAAGTTTACTAATTATAGTTACTTTTATTTAGGTATTACTTATTACAAATTAATTAATATTAGTAATAACAAGTAATTGTAATTGAAAAACTTCAATTGCCTTAATCCATTACAATTACAATTATTTTTAATTGTAATTGAAGCTTTACCAACTATAATTATTTGCAATGCATAATTAAGCAATAACCAATTATAATTATTAGTAATTCAAGATTACCAATTATAGATACTTGAAATTTAGATATAACTAATTTCTATTATGTAGTTAGCAAAACTAAAAATGGGGAATTATCTAAGTCATTTATATGAAGTAAAACCAAATAAATATTTAAACCAGTTCCGGTTAATAACACCAAAATGAAAAAAATATAAAACTAAAAATACAAAAATAATTCGTTCGTGTGTGTTTGAAAAAAATCGTGAGACAAATATTATATAATTTTTAAAAAATGCTTTGAAGATTTATTTTCTTAAATTTTTTTTATTAAATAAATAATTAATAAACACAATGCCAAAAAATATAAATAAATTAAGGCAAGACAAGTTAATTAAAATTTTGTTAAATACCCAACCATTCAAAAAAAAAAAACATACAGCACGTGAATAAAATTTCAAAACTTTCTATATCAAACAAAATGGCAATTATGTGATTTTTGGTCTGTTTTATTATTTCCTCTCAAATATTAACAAAAGTGTATGGTCCATAATTCTCATCTATGAGTTGGCGTTTGTCAATCAATCTTTGTTACCTATTTTGTACTTATCACACAACAAAATTTAATATTTATTAATAATTTGTTTATCATTTTTTTCTTCATTCATTTAGTTGCATGTTTTTCTATAATAGTCAGTCGTTCGTTATCTATATAGTATTGTTTGTTGTGTGTAGGTCAAGCAATTAGTGATCATGTGTTAAAATTTACAAAACTGTGAACTAACTTCTTGTAAACACTAAATGAAATAAATGATGAAACATTTTTAGACTTTATACGTTTATAATTTTTCAAGGTTAATTCTCTCTTTGGTCGTTTTTACTTAAGTATTGTTTTTGTTGTTGTTGTTGTTGGTTTTATGTATTTAATTTTAGGAAATTACGCTGGAGTCTTCATTTAAATCGTACAATTATGTGTGTGTGTGTTTAAAAGAAATATCGAATGAATATTAAATCAAATCAATTATATGGTTTGAGCAAGTGAACAAATACGAAACGATACTGCATGAATATTTATTTAATGACCATATGAATTTTGTTGGGTGAACACCATTTCCAAGAGAATTAAAATATTATGTGATTAAAATATTTTAATGTTGTATGTATAGTCCGAACTAGACAGAAATAGAATAGAACTAGAACTAGAACTAGAACAGAACTGGAACAGAACTAGAACTAGAACAGAACTAGAACAGAACTAGAACAGAACTAGAACAGAACTAGAACAGAACTAGAACAGAACTAGAACAGAACTAGAACAGAACTAAACAGAACTAGAACAGAACTAGAACAGAACTAGAACAGAACTAGAACAGAACTAGAACAGAACTAGAACAGAACTAGAACAGAACTAGAACAGAACTAGAACAGAACTAGAACAGAACTAGAACAGAACTAGAACAGAACTAGAACTGAACTAGAACTGAACTAGAACTGAACTAGAACTGAACTAGAACTGAACTAGAACTGAACTAGAACTGAACTAGAACTGAACTAGAACTGAACTAGAACTGAACTAGAACTGAACTAGAACTGAACTAGAACTGAACTAGAACTGAACTAGAACTGAATTAGAACTGAACTAGAACTGAACTAGAACTGAACTAGAACTGAACTAGAACTGAACTAGAACTGAACTAGAACTGAACTAGAACTGAACTAGAACTGAACTAGAACTGAACTAGAACTGAACTAGAACTGAACTAGAACTGAACTAGAACTGAACTAGAACTGAACTAGAACTGAACTTGAACTGAACTTGAACTGAACTAGAACTGAATTAGAACTGAACTAGAACTGAACTAGAACTGAACAAGAACAACACATATGTATAATAAAATTATTTAATTTTTAGAAAATTTGTCTGCTTAGATATTTAAACTTTATAAAGTGATGTATAGGGTCATAAAAAAGATTTTCTTATGACCGATAAAGTTATTTGCATATTTTTTTGTATTTAATAATGTAATAGAAAACATGGAATATTTTATTATCATAAATTAATTACTCTATTATTTTCTTATTTTTAGATCCCCGGACGAAGGATTGGCCAATGATGTCATCACCATTTCCCACATTAGCTGTATGCCTCACATATGTTTACATAGTCAAGGTAAAGGAAATACATATTTAATAATTTCTTACACAGAGCAACAAACTAGATAAATTTAATACCAATAATGAAAGTATAAGTAAAAAATAGTCTCCAAAAAGGGGTATAGACAAAAAGCTTTTTTATGAGCTTTCTTGTGTTGTAGTTTTCTCATGTATGAAAGCTCAGACATAAGAATCTGCCCGTTTATTTATTTTTAAATTTCTGCTTTAAAGCAATGGTAGGCAGAAAGAGAACGCTTTAAATTGTTGTAAAGAGAAACTCTTTGCATATCCCTGCTTTAATATTTGTTCTATTCAATTTTGAAATAAATGAATTTTTAAAATTTACAGGTTCTCGGACCACGATTAATGGAGAATCGCAAACCATTCCGTTTACAAAACACATTAATTTTATACAATGCAGTACAAGTGATATTTAGCGCCTGGATATTCTATGAGGTAAGTCGTCTCACTCCACTCTATTCTAACAGGAGCGAGCCCTTTTTTCCGACTCTAACCAAATAAATATTTTCAAAAACAAGTTTACAGCAATGTGGGTCCAATTTCAAGCAAAAAAGAATATACAACTTAAGTTATATATTTAAAACATAAAACATATTTACTCTTATGCTTTAAAAAACAAAAAAATCATCAAATTTGTTATATGTTTTCGTTCATCCTAGAAAAAAGAAAAAAACGTATTAATTTAATTAATACATTTTCAGCTAAATTAAGTAAAAATTTTTCTTTTTTGCAGCTTTTCATTTAAAATATTTGGTTTCATTTAAATTACATATTTTCGTATTTTTTGTTGAATTTTTTTTTTGTATTTGTTTTAAGTTGTGTATTTACGTTCGTTCCTTTTTATTAAATGTAAAAGTTATAATATTTTTCTAGTGTTTAATGGGAGGCTGGTGGGGTCATTACAGCTTTACATGCCAGCCCGTGGAATATAATGATCATCCTCGTACCAAACGAGTAAGTTATACCAGTGGTTGTATATACTGTTTAAACAGTATTAAAGAAGAAAAAAAACAATAATTAATTAAAAACTATACTTGACTATTGATTTTTAAAAAATTCAATTAAAAAAAAATCCTACAGTCTGAGCACTCTCGAAAGCAAAAAAGAAAATTGCTTAAATTTTATAAAAAAATTTAAAAAGGAAAAACTGGTTTTAGTGTTAAACATGTAATTGTTTAAATTTCTTTAATAGCTTTGATCATTTTTTAAAATGTTCCTTTTCATATCCTTTACCTTTACCTCCTTACTTCATATTTTGCAGCTTTTTATATGGCATAAGCTTTTAAAAGCTCTAATATTAACCCATTTGCAGCAGCGCCTTTTTATTTGTGGGAATTTTCAAATAAAATTAATAAATCATTATTTTGCAGCTTTAAATATTAATGTGTATTTCATTTTTTTAAGAATTTTTTAATTAAATGTTTTAGTTTTGTATTTCATTTTAAAACAACTTATTTGTGCACCACTCATTTTTACTGTATTTTTTCATCTTTCACATTTGTATTAAATATTTCTGCTTTTTTTAATATTTTTAATTATTAGTAAGTATTTTTGTTATATGTAAATCATATTATTAAAACTTAATTAAACTTTTTCATAAAGCAAACTTTTAATAAGTATGTAGTTAAATAGCAAATTTAATCCTTAATATTCTAATACAGCGTTTATTAGATCATGAATCTAAATCGTAATATGCAAACGACAATAACCTGCATTTTCGCTCTTTTTCTTAAATTTTAACTTGACTGATTAACTGATTAACTGATCTAACCTACACTTTGGACTATAAGAGAACGTTGGACTTACTGAACATCCAGAGTTTATGGATGATAATTCACCCAAAATTATATGAAAGAAATCCTTCATACACTGAGCCTTTTCTTTTTAGTTCCAATTTTAAAATTGTTTTAATGAAAAAACTTTGCGAATTTAAATTTTTACTTGTTTTTGAGTATAGACCATAATTTTATGTAATGTCCTTACCGTTCACTACCGAAACTTTAGAAACTTATTTTAATTATTTTACGCTTTCATTTGTTAATTGTTTAGACAGCTTTCAACTTAAAAGTCGCTTAAAATTAAAACTTTAACAAACGTTTAACTTTAAAAAGCTTTTCAACTTTTAAAAGCGTCAAAGAAATATAGATTTGTTCATACATATTGTAATAGCTTTAAATAGCTCTTCCTGTTTCTTTATTTTTAAAAAAGCTTTAACTAGTTTCGGCAACTTTAAAGCTTCAACTATGTAAGCTTTTAAATATTTAAAAATGTTTTTATATCTTCTAAATATTTAAGAACTTGTAAAAGTTTAAACTTTTAAAAGCTCTGTATGCTTTTAACATTTTTAAACCGGAAACTGTAAAAGTTTTAAGAATTACAACATTATAGGTTTCAAAAAGATTGTTTTTAGTATAAAGCTTTCCCTTTTCCTTTATTTCAAAAAGCTTTAACGAATTTCGATAGCTTTACAGCTTCAACTCTCCTTTAAAATATTTAAAATAGTTTTTATATCTTCTAAATATTTAACAACTTTTGAAAGTTTCAACTTTTAAAAGCTCTGTATGGCTTTAACATTTTTAAACCGGAAACTAGTTTTGTACTTTTAAAGCTGTGAAGTTTTAAAAATTTTAGCATTATAGTTTTCAAAAAGTTTGTTTATAGTTTTAAAGCTTTCCCTTTTCCTTTAATCCAAAAAGCTTTAACGAAGTTTGATAGTTTTAAAGCTTCAACTCTGTAAGCTTTAAAATATTTAAAATAGTTTTTATATCTTCTAAACATTTAAAAACTTTTGAATTTTTCAACTTTTAAAAGCTCTGTATGCCTTTAACTTATTTATTCCAAAAAAAGCTTAAACGAGTTTTGATTACTTTTTATGCTTCAACTCTGTAAGCTTTTAAATATTTAAGAAAGTTTTTATATCTTCTAAATATTTAACAACTTTTGAAAGTTTCAACTTTTAAAAGCTCTGTATGCTTTTAACATTTTTAAAACGGAAACTAGTTTGGTAGTTTTAAAACTATGAAAGTTTTAAAATTTTCAGCATTATAGGTTTCAAAAAGCTTAGCAAAAAGCTTGTTTATAGTTTCAAAGCTTTCCCTTTTCCTTTATTCCAAAAAGCTTTATCGAGATTCAATAGTTTTAAAGCTTTCACTCTGTAAGCTTTTGAATATTTAAAATAGTTTTAATTTTTTCTAAATATTTAAAATTTTTTGAAAGTTTCAATTTTTAAAAGCTCTGTAGGCTTTTAACATTTTTAAACCGGAAACTAGTTTTGTAGTTTTAAAACTTGAAAAGTTTTAAACATTTTAGCATTATAGGTATAAAAAGCTTTAAAGCTTAAATATTTTATATTGCAATTAAAAAAGCTCTGTAAGTTTTCCAAAATTTGAAAGAAGTAGCTAAAAAACTTTATTTAAAAAGTTCAACTTTTAAAATCTCTACAAACTTTAGAAGTTTTGTTCAAGTTTATGCAAAACACAATATCGAATTATATTTATTATAAAGTCACAAGCCAATTCTTTAAATTAAATTTATAAAAGCCCCAGACATCTAACTAAAGCGAATATTAGGCGATGTATCTTTTTTTTAATGAAATTAAATCTTTCAAAGACCTCATATTACGGCCTCAAAACGTTGATCTATTAATATTTTAGACATGCGTTCTAGGAATCTGGAATTAAAAATTTACATATTTGTTTTACAAATTCCAGAGATATATCTCCGATTTTTTTCATATATAGTTATCACAGCAAGCTTTCCATTGGGATATACATACATATTTAAAAAATTTGCTTTATGAAAATGTTTTTTTTGAGATTTTTTTTTTTGCTTTTTTTTATAAATTAAACAAAATTCATTTGTAAGTTAAATGTAGTTAAATCTAAATAACATGTGTTTACTCTTGGGTAAAAAAAACCATTAAAATAATGGCCAAATATCATAAAAAGGCTTTTATTAACAATGATCACAAAAAGGAAATATATAATTTATGTCTTTAGTCGTAATAGGTCATACGCGTTGTTGTTGTTGTTTTTCTGTTGTAGTTATCCATATATATGTATCTGTTGCATTACACCAAAAACAAAAAAGAGAAATATGTCTTAAATTGTTACATTCAACTGGACCAGGAGTTGCTGATCTATCAAGAAACCAACCCCCTTTGCTAATAAACAAAAACAACCCAAAAAAAAACTTATCTGTTTCTCTTTCTTGACATCTTCTGTATATTACATATTCTCTTTTGATTTTTTACATTTTCAGATTGGTATATCCGGTTGGCTGACAGGACACTATAGCTTCCGATGTCAGCCGGTTGAGTATAATAATAACCCTAGAGTAATAAGGGTATGTGTTAACCACCACCATGACCACCACAAGCAAATAATTTATTTAATTGCAATTAAATTTTAAACAATATCAATGTTAAATTAACAATTAAATGTTCTAATTTTTTTTTTGTTGTTTCGTTAGAGTAGTTTACAAGAAAAATAATTTGAAAATTTTAAATATTTTTCTGTTGTTGTCCTTTTTTTCGTTTGGTTTCCTTTTCTCTACTGTTTTCTCTAATCTATTCCTTTTGTGTTTTGTTTTATCTATTCGTATATTATTTTATTTCCTGTTCTTTTTTTTAATGCACTAATTTAACATTTGTATCGTATGGTTACTAATTATAGTTTTATTTTTTTTTTAACTAATTTATGGTGTTTTTAGTTTTTAAGCTAAACTAACAATAAATTTTATTTATATTTTTTTGGTTTTGATTTTATTTAATTGATTATAAAATCCGTTTATTTCGAGAGAGCTACAGTTTGTTTAAAGAAAACATATTTTGTGTATATTATTTTGTATGAAAATATTAAACAGAGGGGTTTATTGAAAAATCGTTTCGTTAAGAAAATTTTCAGAATAGTTTTCTAACGATTTGTTTTTCACAATAACCCCCAGGATTAAGGTCAAACGAATAATTAATTTTTATTTTTTTATTATATAAAATATTTTTATTTTATTATTTTGTTTTTCTAAAAAAAAATTATGTTTATACAAAATTTATTTGCATGAATTTGTTTAAATAATTACACACACACAAATCAATGAAATGTCTAAAAGGGAAGTGAAAATAAAGCTTTAAGTAACAAAAGCTTTACAATGATTTGAAAGCGTAAGTTATGAGGCATATGAAACCTTTAAGGGCTTTCTTCAATATCAAAATTTGTTGTATAAACCTTTGATAACCCTTTGAAAGCTTTTATGATTTGCATATTTCCTGAACCCTTAAACAAGCTTTAAATTTGTTTAATTATTCAAAACTTTTTTTGTGTTATTTTAGTTGGAAAGCTTTTTAAAATTACAAAAAAGCTTTCAAACTTAAAAAAGCTCTATAAGCTTTTGAACTTTTAAAAGAGTAAAAAGTAAAGCTTTATCTTATAAATCTATCAAAAAATTTGTAATTGTTATCCCTTTAAAAAATATTAAACTTTTAAGAGCTTTTTAAGTTATTACAAAAATTAATGATATAAAAGCTTTTAAACATGCTATATATTAAAACATATTGAATATATTTCAGTTTTAAAACTTTTTACAATTTATAATAAATGTAAATTTTAAAAGCTATTAAAGCTTTTATATTTCTAAGTCTTTTAAAAGCGTAAAAGAAGTAATAGATGTTATAGCTTTAAACTTTTTGCAACTTTTAAAAATTTAAACTTTAAAACTAATACAAAAAAATTAAAGCTTTTAAGCTTTTAAAGCATTCTTATCCAAATAATATAAAAACATTAAATTCGTGTAAAATTTTTAAAATATTAAAAGCTTTAAACTTTTGATCAAACAAAAATCCTTAAAAGCTTTTTAAATTTAAAAAAAAAAACTTTAAAATGCTTTAAAATTTGTAAAAGCTTTTTAAGCTTTTGAATTTTTAAAATAGTAAAAGAAAACTAAACTTGTTATTCAACTGATTTGAAGCTTTTTAAACATATTTAAAATATTCAAAGCTTTAAGCTTTTGATTTTTGTGCTTTATTTCCACTTCCCCTTTAAAGAAACTAAACAAATTTTCTAATTCCCTCCTAATTAATTTAACTTTTTTTCAATTTATTTTATCTTTACAAAAATAAAGATGGTTCATGCCTGCTGGTGGTATTATTTCTCGAAATTCACAGAGTTCATGGATACGGTAAGTTCTAAATTCAAAAGCTTTTAAAAAGCCTCCAATTTGTAAGAGATATTATTTAATTAATAATTTCACTTTTTCTTATCTAGATATTCTTTGTTTTGCGTAAAAAAGAAAGTCAAATCACCACACTTCATGTTATTCACCACGGCTGTATGCCCATGTCCGTATGGTTCGGTGTAAAATTCACCCCTGGCGGTCACAGTACCTTCTTCGGTTTGCTCAATACTTTTGTACATATTATTATGTATACCTACTATATGTTCTCGGCTATGGGTCCTCAATATCAGAAATATTTGTGGTGGAAAAAGTATTTGACCACTTTGCAAATGGTGAGTAAAAAATCGTATGAAAAAAAAAATACACATTTTTAATTCTAAATTCTTATTTCGTTAGGTCCAATTCATTGCTATCATGGTACATGCCTTCCAATTACTCTTCATCGATTGCAATTATCCTAAAGCCTTTGTCTGGTGGATCGGTATGCATGCTGTTATGTTCTTCTTCTTGTTCAATGAATTCTACAAACAAGCCTACAAGGGCCGCAAATCGGTAAGTCTATAAAACTAAATGCAATTAAAACTTAACAACTTCATCTTTGTTTCATTTAGTAACATTATTTATTTTAATATATTTGCATTATTGGTTCCAAATTAAACAAAAAAATACTAAAGGTTCTAAATTTTCTCTTTAAAAAATTCCTAATCATTTCATGAGATTATTAGTAGAAATGTTGGTTAAAGGAAAAAGTAGTTTCGTAAGAATTTTGTTATCATTTTATTAGTTGAAAGTAGATTTGTTTGTAGATTGTAGAATTTAAATGAGAAAGAGTATGCTTTTGCTCATTAATGTGAAAAGTTTTATCATTCTCAGTAGAATTATTTTCTAAAGCGAAAAAATGTCTCGTTCGTTTTTAATTTTTTTATAAATTGAAACCCTCGAATGTCCGCCACGATCTATTAAATCTGAAAGGAACAAAATGCAAACAACGAAATTTTAACTTTTGGAGCACTGAGAATCTTTCGAAATCATTATTATCAATTATTAACGGGATCTTATTGTCTCAAATCGATGAACACAAAGCTTAACATATGGTGCTAAAGATCTACCGATTTCATAGTTGCCAACTAGATTTTATAGTTTTCTTTAGGAAAATAATCTTTCAAAGAACTTTTCTTAGATTTTTTTAAAGTTCAAAAGTTCTGTAAATATCAGAGTTATATCCCAAACTTTTCAAAAGCTTATAAACATTTCTAAGCTTAAAGCGTTTGAAAATGGCGCGTGATAATTACACAGGCCAACAAATTTTTAACCCAGACAACAAAGTATACTTTCATAAAGAATTGAGCTGCGTTGAATCAAAATGTGGCCATTAGGTTCTTGAGCTATATGGTTTGTAAAAACCCCGTTTTCGCCTATATTTGAGACGTTATAATAGCGCAAAAAATTATTTTCCAAAATTTTTTATTTCGCCTTAAAGTCCAATCTGTCAACTTTTATTTAAATGTTCTTGGCCTGTGTTACTGGAACCGTTTGAGTAGTAAATAAGAATAATTGTATATATCTTTAACAATATAGGGAATAACTCAAACTAGGTATTCTTAAATACATAACTGATCATATGTATCTCTCAGATGTGATAAACTTTCGAAAAATTCGTCAACAATAAATAATCAAAAAATCCAAAAAGTACGCACGATCAGTAGGGTTTCTCGTGGATCACCACTCAAACGATGAGCATTAATCTCAATTCCCTACCAGAGATTGAAAATTTTGATCTTGTAGGGAACTGAGGACCATTATACCCTTCTATTGAGAGATATTGCTGCAAGAGATTCTTGAAAAGTCTGTTCCTCGGTACACTTTAACGATCAGTGTATTCAAACTTTGTCATCGAAAGGAATCGAGTTTTATCGGTGAAAACTGGTAAACAATCTTGAGAGGAAACTTACCCTATTAAAACAGATATTGTATAATTTTAAGTTGTAAAAATCGGCATCAACAGGGATCTCCAGCCAATAAAAAATTACTTAATAACTAAATATTTTAAAGCAACGAAGATCAGACATTGTTCCAAGGCACGAACTTTAATCGGTTTTCCACATAAACACAACATGTATCTACAAGATAATTTGCACCAATACTTTAGCTATTAACTTTACACTCGCATAAAACCATCACTTTTTGGTCACCACTGAATTAAAGCACTTTGATTTCCTTAGAAAATGATGCAACAATCTGAAAAACAAATTGCAACAATTTAGTTTTTATTATGAAAACAAAAATACACGAAATTACTTTTTCTCCTACACCATATTTCAACACCAAAACATAAATCTAGAGCACAATTTTGTAACACCTACGATTTCTAAAACATAACAAATTGGCAATAACTTAAAAAAGCTATATTTCTACTACATACTTACTAAATATCTTTATACTTGTATCTCTTCTACTTCTTCTACTGCTTCTTATAAAACACACAACACTGTCTTCCATTTGTGCCATTTAACAAAATAGATAATCAAACTCTTAACCTATTATTACATTCCTAACTTATGATATGACTCCTCTAACCGATAGACAGACAAAACAAATAAAAGACCAAACATAACTAGTGCTTCCGAATTGGTATCAATGTCATCAATAATATTATAATATTCCCACGTTATTTTACATCAACACACGAACGTTTCAAACCATTTAAAGTGCAAAACCAAATAAAAAACAAAAAAAAATCGGTTAAACACTTGTCGCAACATAGTAAATCCGGCCTGTGGTAATGAAATCAAAAGTTAAAGAAAAGAAACCAACAAATAATGAAAAGTAAACCTTGTAAACGAACTAAAATTCCATATAAATAAATATTTTAAGGCCAATAGAGGCAGAAAGACAGAAAGCCAAGAGAAAAAAAAAAACACAATATTATATCATATACATATAAACACAGGTAGAGACCTGAAGATATAGTAAACGAACGAACGTTTGACTGAGTGGCAGACAGACACCAAGACATGTTAAACAAAACTCTTACTTATTAGCTGCAGAGCTTAGTAATCATTGTTAGTCCATCTAACTTACTGGGCTTTCATTTTTTCTGTTTTCTTTTCATTCAAAAAAAAAAAGCCGCTTACAAAAATGTTGCACCTTCTTTTGCTGTTTCTTTTGCTTTACATATTTTTTCTTTACTCACTACAATTTTTGTTTGTTGTTGCTAAAACTAAAGTTTTATGATCGTAACAAATTTCTTTACGGTATTTTCTGGGGCTCTTGGTTAAACAAAATTTGTTTATCCACTTAAGACACTACAAATATTAAAGAAATTTTCATTGTCATATTAAAAGCCCTGTCAACATAGTAAATAGCAACAGCAAACATATGTATGTATGTACTTCATTATTATATGACGTCATCATGATCGTGTTCATCATTATTATTATTATTACTGTTATTATCACTGTTAACACGTTGTTGTAACCACAAATACATAACACATGAAATTGTTCCAGACAACCAACACGAACACTTACAACAATTGCTTTCATTTAGAGGTATTTAAGTAGGTCTTTAGGTTTGTTGGATAAACAGTGCTGGGAATTTGTTTATGAGTCTAGATTCAGTTCCTGTTTTCCATTAAAATCGGTTTTTATATCAATCACCCGATAAAGATCAATTGCGAAAGGGACTATAAAAATATATAAATAACGGGCCTATTGAGGTCTCCAATAGAATACTTAAATCAGTTTTTCTGAGGGATGTAATATATGGTATAACATCAGTGGATATAATTGTGACATAGAAAGTCGTCCTATCCACTTGCTCGTCCAATTTTGTCGGAATAAGTACCATCATAGTAACTTTGGACTTATTTATACTGAGGACATCCATTATTCATGAGGAAGTTCAATTGTTCCAAGTTTTCTTTCCTTATATGCTTTTCATTCTGACTTCATTGCGCCGTTCGTTATCGAATTTGTTAGTTCAAGTTCCCCCAGCTTTCTTCCCTGTAAAACAATTACGTTTGTACTTTCATTACCGATTATTCCCGAGTGACCGGATGCCTATATAATGCAGAGTATAACACCGCAAGAGTATTCGATATCGTACCTCTTAGTGCCTAATATGGTCTTATCAGCTGATATCGCCTTAATCGCCATATGTTGGCAACTTTTGGCAACATTTTTGTTCCAATCCATTCCATTATAACCCGAACTTCCTCCCGGAAGCTAGTTTTATGATTAAGTAGAAGTGTTTCCCTTAAAGTTGTGGTCTCCAGTAGGTTAGGTGGCCTCCGGTAGGTTAATGGTTAGTGTTTTAGTCTGGAAGACCGGAGGTGGTGGGTTCGATTCCCACCTGAGGCACTGGTTAAGGAGCTCACAACAGGCCCCATAGAGTCCTAGGTGTATTTCTTCGGATTTGATGTATATATGTACATCCTCCTTTCAAACTAACTAACTAACTTCCCTCAAGTTGTTTCTTAAAACCGGAACCCTAATTCAAAATCTGATCGCTTACATTTTTTCATCAAATATCGGAAGTTCTAAAAGGACCCACTATGTAAATTCGGTTAAGCCCTTCGTGTGGCCTCCGGTAGGTTATGAGTACGATTCCCACCTGAGGCACAGGTAAAGGAGATGTAAACTAACGAACTAAGCCCTTCATATCTAAAAAAATATATATTTTAAAAGAGCGGTTTTTATAAATGCTAATAATCTATAGCTTGTATTCAACCATAAACAAATTTCCCTTACTGTACACTATACCATTTTTCTCTTAAATTTCAAAACGTTGCGCATGCTTATTTATAGCAAAACTAAATATCCAAAACAAACACCCATTCAATGTGGACACAACCATTAGTTGAAAAATAAATCACTGTAATAAAAAATACAATAATATGTCTTGTCCGTATGTTTTTTTTTTTTTTTTTTTTTTGGACAAACCGAAATTTCTTGTCTTCTCTTTCAAATACAATTCGTATTAAGCAACAAAACAAGTGAAAGTTAAGTTAAAGCAAAATCTTGGATAATAGATAGTTTAACACAATAAACAAAGACAAAAAGACCCCATAGATACAATGCAGGCGGAAGCGGCGAATCTTTAATAACCGGATTTTTAGCAAAATATTTAGAGAAGTTAGATCTTGTGAAAAAATTGGCTTTACTTTATATTTTGGTCATATGTCTATAAAGTGCATTGGTTATTTGAAATTGACCAATTTTTCCTATTCAGAAAAATACATTTGGATTATATACATATTCGTTTTCGATGATTGATTTAATATTTCGACCAAGTGTTGTAGTAAATGTTGCCACAGCACCTATGAATGAATATTTTAATATTACACAACTTTTTGTAGTTGTTGTTTATTTTAACTTTTGTTTTTGCTATTGTCCAAGAAATATTTTTACAAAGTAACTGAGAGTTTTTAAAACTAAAACCTCATTAATCTTCTCTCTTAGATTTTGTAAAGAATAGTCAATGTATTTCGTAGTGGTGATGCCACTTGGAACACATATGAATTGGGAATTTAGATTTGGAATGTCTTTCATAATCATGAATTCAAGATTAATTGTTGAACTTACCGGTAACCCGGCGGAGAACATTTCTCTAACTTTTTTTCCTGAAATTCCTTTATTTCTTCTGAAGTGAAGCGTATGGACCGATCAAAACTAATATTAATCGGACATAAAGTGGATGAGACAACAAATGCCAACTACTAGTTTCAAAATCATTTCTAATTCATTTTCCAAAATGTGTTCTTTTGGAACATTTTCGTAATCGAAATATTACATCTTCAACTCTGATCGTCTATTCCGAGAGATTTTAGATCAAATGTGGGACGTTATCAAAATGAAAATATTAATTCTGATCGTATATTCCGAGAGATTTTAGATCAATGATGGCTTTAAACGAATATACTGTATGAATAAATAAACTGTAAACTTGCCGTCATGGATATGCAGTTTTTTTAATGGATCCATTGATTTAATGTAGAACTGAATTCTTTTTATACTTTGTTGGCACAAAATTCGATATTTTTGACGTTAAATCCGAAATCCGGCCTTAGAATTTCTCCATCACATCAAGTTTTCGAGATATAGTGTCTTAAAATCGAAAAACCCACGTTTTTCAGAATCTTTGAGACGTTACAATAGCACAAGGATAACTCCAGTGTGTCGACTTTAAAATATCTTCTTTCTTCTTGGAGATATTTAACATAAAGCCTGAAACTGCTTAAAATTAACAAAAACATAACTTTGAACTATATTTAGCTTTTATGACAATCTTAACTACATATGTATACACGGTTGTCAGATCTTATAACGTTGGAATGTACTGACAATGAAAAATTGTTAGCAATAGGTAAATTGTGTCAGTTCAGACGATTGTAAAAAAACTCTACAATATCATTGACAGACAATTGTCACACAATAAATTGATCTGCCAACAAAAATTGTAAGTTCAAAGGGTTGTTAGACATTTTCTGCCAACGTTGTAAGATCTGACAACCGTGTATACATAGCATTATATGTCAGAATTTTTCATAAAATTTCTCATAAAATTATTTTTTGAATTGTTTAAAAATCGTTTCTATTTGCTGAGATATCGCCTGTTAAAATTTTCGCCGTAGATTAAAGACATTATCAGATGTTTTGCAGTTTATAGTTGTTCTTAACTTTGGGTTAAGATATCTCAAAGTAGAAAGAAGATATAACAGATGTTAAATATTTACTTTAAAGTCGACAGATTAAACTTTCAGACAACATACAAAATTTTATAAAAAATGATGTCTACGCGCTATTATGATGTTTTAAATTTGGCCAAAAACGGAGTTTTTTTTCAATCGTTATGACACGATATCTGGAAAATTCAGAAGCCAGTTTTGAACTTATTGCTGATCTGTTCTTTAGAAAAGTATAACTTGGTCTCAGGGTTTCGATTTTTGTTAATTTTTTAATATAACATATGTAAGAGACACGCCAATCCTTGCAAATTAAGTTATACACCCAGTAATATGGATGAATATTAGAATCGCTAAAATGAACTCTCTCTTAGTTTCCTTGCTAAAATATCGTTGTCTTTGTAAAGGTGGAAGTACACAACACGCGTTGAGGCGGCAACACGTTTCACACTTTTCAAACTTTTCGTGCTTTATAAGCGGCAAGTTACACACTACGCGTCATTTTGATCTATCTTTTACTGTTTTTAATATTTTTCTTCAATTGTTGGAGAAATTTATTTAATTTTAGTTTATTCTTATTCTACACAAAACAAAATACAACCCTGATCAGCTGCCGACGCGTCAAAAGTTGAAAGTTACTGAACTTTTCGCGGCAGACGCCTAACAAACTACAATGTGTAACTTGTTAATAGGGTTCTATAAATCGACTTTCGAATAATCGAACAATCGACTTTTTGTCGAAAAAGTCGAAGTCGACTATTTTGTTCCAAAAAAGTCGATAACTCGACTATCGTCTGTGAAAACAGTCGAAAAGTCGACTTTGTGAATAAAAGTCGAAAAAAGCCGAAAAGTCGATAAGTCGAAAAATGTCGATAAGTCGAAAAAAGTCGAATAAAGTCGAAAAAAGTCGAAGAAAGTCGAAAAAAGTCGAAAAGTCGAAAAAAGTTGGAAAAAGTCGAAAAAAGTCGGAAAAAGTCGGAAAAAGTCGAAAAATCGAAAATTGTAGAAACAAGTCAAAAATAGTCAAAAATTTTAAAAAAGTAAAAAAAAAAGGCAAAAACTCTAACATAGTCGGAAAAACTCGAAAAAAGTCAAAAAATAGTCGGAAAAAAAGTAGAAAGAAGTCGAAAATAGTCAAAAAGTCGAAAAAATCGAAAAGTCGAAAAAAGTCGGAAAAAGTCGAAAAGTCGAAAAAGTCGAAAAGTCGGAAAAAGTCGAAAAGTCGACTATTTATAAAATACTTATAGTCGAAAAGTCTAAAAGTCGACTTTTATTTAAATGAAAAAAGTCGAAAAGTCGAAAAATCGACTTTTCATAAAATGCAAAAAGTCGAAAAGTCGACTTTTAACTAAATGAAAAAAGTCGAAAAGTCGAAAAGTCGACTTTTCGTTTCAACTATAGAACCCTACTTGTTAAATGAAAATACACTATTTCACCTTTTTTTTGACAGAAGTTGTGTACTTCCACCTTAAAGAAACATATTTGCCGTTTTAGAAAACATTGTGTGATAATACTTTTTAGAGAAACCCTACATATAATATATTAAAGTAGCCGCCTAAAAGTAGACAATACTTTTGTGTTTCTTATTTCCTACTCCACCTAATATTACACTTGAAACAATTTTACACGTAAAACACAAAATTCATCGATAATGTTTTTATTTTGTTAAATGTTATCCATAGTTTAGTAGTAGTAGTAATAATAATGCAAATATACATTCATTTAAACATTTTCTTTAAAGTAATCATTAGCTTTATTTCATTCACTTAATATTCATAAACAATTTTTTTAATTTCGAAGATTTATAAAACAAACCCTTGGATTTAAATCAATAACTCCGAGGGAAATTTTATATTGAAAAATATGTTAAACACTCATATTTTAAGAGTGTCCTTGCCAGATTTTTATAAAATTTTGTTCTTATAAAACTTATAATAAATTTAAAAAATTGTTTATGAATAAGACCCATTTAGTTATTATTTTCATTTAAATTCAAACGAAAACAAACATTCAACTGTTGTTAACATAAATCAATTTTCCTTTTTTATGTATTTTCATTTGTGACCTAATTCTCTCTGCCTGATGCCACCAACAAATATATAATAATTAAAAATATAATAAATAAAAACGTAACGTAATAACCCCTAAATAAAAAAAATGCTACAACAAATTATAAATAATTAAACTCAAATCAAACAAAATTCATATTAAAAAAAAAAACTAAATCATAAAACGCGCTTTAATGTAACCAAACAAAAATAACTGTAAACAAACAATTACTGTGACAATTGTACTTTTGCTTTAAATCCATATCAAATTTTCTGTCCCTCTGTGTGTGTGTGTGTAACTCCAATGAAAACTGTTGGAATATGTGAATAAAACAGCAATATAAGAACTTATTAATGTTCTTTTTGCAGCGTCCTGAAAAGGATTACAAACTCATAACCAATGGCCATGCCAATGGTGATTTGTCAGCTGATGTCAGCAGCAGCAGCAGCAAACACATGAACGGCCATGCTGTTAATGGTAAGATCAATGGCCTCACAAATGGCTCAACAGCAAATGGTGGTATCTCCACAAGTGCGAATGGTTTAATGAATGGCAGTGCGTATAAAAATGGCGCCGTGCTGGCTAATGGCGTCGCTAACGGTCACAGCGATTTAACGCAAAGAAAAGTTAAATAATATAAAACCAAAACAACGAAACAACGTAAAATACACAAAAAGAAAAAATTGGACATTTAAAAATAAATTTGGAACATTAGTTTGTTTTCTCTCAACGATTGATTGTTTAACTAAAAACTTCAAAACTTTTATTATTTGTTTAGAGGAAAACAATTTCAATTGCAATAATTAAATTTAAACAAAAAAAAAAAAAACAAAAACCAAAATGATTACTCTGCTAAAGCTATTGCTTTTACAAGTCAATCTTAACTGTAAATTACGAGAGAGTTGTATTCAAAGTTTAGAAAACGTTTGTGATGTATTTCTTTAACAAAACAAAAAAAAATATATATATTATTAAATAATAATGTGTTTTTGTAAAGTTTTATAATTATATAATAGTTCCATACTTATTTTTCTTTACTACATTTTTTTCTTTTCTTTTATTATTATTTTTATTATTTTCTTTCTTTGGGTTATATATATATATTATTATTTAAGTTAAATTTTATACAATGTTATATAAATATATGTATGTATGTGTATACAAAGTTATTTTTTGTTAAAACATTTTTTTCTATATATATATAAAAAAAAACCTAAAAAATTTTCTAGCTTTTTATTGTGAAAAAATTATATTATATACAAAAACAAAACAAAATTAAATTGCTTTAGTTGTACAAATAAATGGAGGAAAGCAAGTAGAAGGTTTATAGTTTACATAGAAATAATATTGTATAAAAAAAAAACTTATTGAATATTTAATTAAAAACAAATAACATAAAAACGAAAAAAATACTTATAAATATTAGACAACCTTGGGGAGATTTAAAAGAGTTATCGGTTGTTCTAGAATAGCAATAAGATATGAGGTTTTATTTAGAAAATTGTTTTAGTAGATTTGGGGAATAAAACAAATTTCAAAATCTTTTCTTTAAAAGAAATAGAATGTTTTGGAAAAAAAGTACTCAAAAAGTACTATTTTCAAAAGGTACTTTTTAAATTTTTTGGCTACACATCAAAATGATTTTATAAATTGTATAAAAATACAGGATTTGGAAAAAGTACTATTTTCAAAAGGTACTTTTTTAATTTTTGCGTTTTTCCATTAGATAATTGTCTAATATTCTGAGAAAAATCAAGGAAACTACTTCTAATTTTTAAAAAAGAAGTTTTTTTTAAAGAAATCGCATGATTTTGGAAAAAGTACTATTTCCAAAAAGTACTTTTTTTAATTTTTGTGTTTTCCATTAGATAATTCTCTAAAATTCTGAGAAAATACAAGACAACTACTGGTATTTGTTTAAAAAGTACTTTCTTTAAAAGACATAGGATGTTTAAGAAAAATACTATTTTCAAAAACTACCTTTTTTATAATTTTTCTCATTAATTTTTTGTAATAGAAAACAAGCCATTTCATTAACAACGAAAGTTACTTTTAAATTGTATAAAAATACAGGAAATTTAAAAAAAAGTACATTTTCTAAAAAGTACTTTTTTAATTTTTGCATTTTTCCATTAGATAATTCTCTAAAATTCTGAGAAAAACCAAGGAAACTACTGGTATTTTTTTAAAAGGTACTTTCTTTAAAAGAAATAGCATTTTTTGGAAAAAGTACTATTTTTAATTTTTGCTACTATTTTCAAAAACTACCTTTTTATAATTTTTCTCATTAATTTTTTGTAATGAAAACCAAGCCATTTCATAAAAAACGAAAGTTACTTTTAAATTGTATAAAAATACAGGAAATTTTTACAAAAAGTACTTTTTTAATTTTTGCGTTTTTCCATTAGATAATTCTCTAAAATTCTGAGAAAAACCAAGGAAACTACTGGTATTTTTTTAAAAGGTACTTTCTTTAAAAGAAATAGTATGTTTTGGAAAAAGTATTATTTTCAAAAAGTACTTTTTTTAATTTTTGTGTTTTCCATTATATAATTCTATAAAATTCTGAGAAAATATCCGGAAATTACTTGTAATTTTTTAAAAAGTATTTTCTTTAAAAGAAATAGCATGTTTTGGAAAAAGTACTATTTTTAAAAGGTAATTTTTTATTATTTTTCTCTTAAATTTGTTTGGTAATAAAAACCAAGCCATTTCATAAACAACGAAAAGTTCCCTAAATTGTATACAAATACAGGAAACATTTAAAAAAAGTATATTTTCTAAAAAGTACTTTTTTAATTATTGCGTTTTTCCAGTACTACTGGTATTTTTTTATAAAAAGTACTTTCTTTAAAAGAAATAGGATGTTTTGGAAAAAGTAATATTTTCCAAAAGTACTTTTTTTATTATATTTCTCTTTAATTTTTTCTTTTAACCCTTTTTGATTTTAACAAAAGTACCAATTTTTTAAATAAAAAGTACCAAAGTGTTTAAATAACAATAAATTTAATAAAAAAAATTAAACATTTTTTAATTGGATTCAAATTTCTAACAATAATGACAAAAGTGTTTAATTAAAAATGTTTATTTTCTTTTAGGTACTTTTCAAAAAAGGTGCTTTTTCAAAAAAGTACTTTTTTAAAAAGGTACTTTTTAATAAAAATCGTTAAAAAATGTAAATAACATAACAATTTTAAATAACTTTTAAACATTTTGCTGTAAAAATATGTTGTACATAATTAAAAAAAGTACTATTTTTTAACAAAGTTCAAAATGGCCTAAATGTAAAAAAAAGTGTTTTATAAAAAATGAGTGAAATTTAAAACTTTTTAATTTGTAGTTTACATATTGAATTTAAAACATTGCCACGGAAGTATTTGAAAAAATGGCCGAAAAAAGGAAAAAAGTACTTTTTGCCAAAACATGATTTAAAATGTACAATTTTTTAAACTGAAGCTTTGTCCTTTGAAGTGAAAGTATAAAAAATGTTATTTTAATACTTAGGAGTTGTAAAAAGTGGCTTTTGGTGAGAAGTACTTTAAAAGGTTCTTTTTAGAAAATATGTAGTACTTTTTTACTTTCACTTTAGATTTCACTACAAAATGTTAAACAACAAACTTATAACAATATTTGTTAAATATTTTTGAGTTAAAATTTAAGGTACAAAACTAAAAAATAAAGTACTTTTAAAACTAATCCCTAAGAAATCCCTAAAAGCCCTATTTTCAACATTAAAACCAAACATATTATTTCTAAAAAGGAACAACCATAACATTTCTTTTACAACTTTCAAAGGCAGTCTAATAAATTTATTACAAAAAAAAACTTTAAATATAAATTTACAAAAGTGAGGTTATTATTATGTAGGTAAAACAAACAAAAAAATTATATAAATATTAAAATAATTTTGTAAAAAAACACATAAAACCCCACTAATATTTAAGTTAAAAAAAGTCATGCATAATTTAAAAATAAATAAAAAACTAATATTATTAATATTTAAAAAAAAAAAAAATACCCATATATAGAAAAATAAAACTGAAACGACGCAAAACTACCATTAAAATTAAACATTACACAAACAAATTTTCCTCATTAAAAAATAAACACAAAATTTCATGATTAAATTAAATTCCATATTTAAAAACAAAATCAGCAATATTTCGATTAGTAACTTTAAAAATTAGAAAAAAGTTAAAAAAAATATTCTAAAAAACCGCTTCATTAATTTATTAAAAAAAAAAAAGAAAATCAAGTGAAAACGATTAAAGAAAAAATTCTAAAATTATATTTAAAATTTAAACTACAAAATAAGAAAACAAAAATATTTACAAACTATAATTGAAATAGTAAACTAATTTTTGATTAAACAAATAAAACAAAATCCCAAATACATTTAAACATTAAAGGAGAATTGTATTTATTTTTTAAGTTTATTATTATTATTATTATATTATTAAAAATATAAATTAAAAATAATATTAAATAATACCATATTATAAATAGTAGTCTGTAAGTTGTAATAGGTCTATAGGTATACAAATTTTGTATGCAAAAAACAAACATTAAAAAAAAACCAATTTCAGAAAAATAAATAAATTTAAAAATTTAAAACGAAACTGCAAAATTATTACATGAATAAATAGAAAATTTGAAAGAAATTTAATAAACCTGGCTAAAAGTAAAACAAACCACAGCAACAAAAAAAAAAAAACAAAATCCCACAAATCAACAAGTAACTCTAACTGAATAAGAAATAAAACTATTATTGTATTGACTTTAAGTAAAGAAACCAAAACGTAAGTTTTTTGTGTATAAAATTTAAACTTTAAAGAACTGGGCGTTAAGGAAGTTGAACTTATTTTTATTTTCAAAATATAACGATTTAAAAAAGAAATATATATATAAATAAAAAAGAAACTGAAATAAACTAAAAAATGCATCTTTGAAAAGACAAAATATAAAATTCAATGTGTTTTTAATTCAAAATTATACAAACGATGAAAAAGGTAAGTTAGGGTAAGGTAGGGCATAATTAGGACTAGGGTTCTATAAATCGACTTTCGAATAATCGAACAATCGACTTTTTGTCGAAAAAAGTCGAAAAGTCGAAGTCGACTATTTTGTTCCAAAAAAGTCGATAACTCGACTATCGTCTGTGAAAGGAGTCGAAAAGTCGACTTTGTGAATAAAAGTCGAAAAAAGTCTGAAAGTCGAAAAGTCGAAAAAAGTCGGAAAAAGTCGAAAAATCGAAAATTGTAGAAACAAGTCAAAAATAGTCAAAAATTTTAAAAAAGTGGAAAAAAAGTCAAAAACTCTAAAATAGTCGGAAAAACTCGAAAAAAGTCAAAAAATAGTCGGAAAAAAGTAGAAAGAAGTCGAAAATAGTCAAAAAGTCAAAAAAATCAAAAAGTCGGAAAAAGTCGAAAAAAGTCGAAAAGTCAAAAAAGTCGAAAAGTCGAAAAAAGTCGAAAAAGTCGGAAAAGCTCGAAATGTCGACTATTTTTAAAATACTTATAGTCGAAAAATCTAAAAGTCGACTTTTATTTAAATGAAAAAAGTTGAAAAGTCGAAAAATCGACTTTTCATAAAATGCAAAAAGTCGAAATGTCGACTTTTAACTAAATGAAAAAAGTCGAAAAGTCGACTTTTCGTTTCAACTATAGAACCCTAATTAGGACTGAACCAGAACTGAACTAGAATTGAACTTGAACTAGAACTGAAAAGGAGCAGACTAAAACTGAAATGGAACATACCTAGAACTGAATTAGATATAAACAAGAACTGATCTAGAACTGAACTAGAACTGAACTACAACTGAACTAGAACTGAATTAGAACTGAACTAGAATTGAACTAGAACTGAACTAGAACTGAACTAGAACTGAACTAGAACTGAACTAGAACTGAACTAGAACTGAACTAGAACTGAACTAGAACTGAACTAGAACTGAACTAGAACTGAACTAGAACTGAACTAGAACTGAACTAGAACTGAACTAAAACTGAACTAGAACTGAACTAGAACTGAACTAGAACTGAACTAGAACTGAACTAGAACTGAACTAGAACTGAACTAGAACTGAACTAGAACTGAACTAGAACTGAACTAGAACTGAAATAGAACTGAACTAGAACTAAACTGAACTAGAACTAGAACTGAACTTGAACTGTACTGACCTAGAACTGAACTAGAACTGAAATAGAACTGAACTAGAACTGAACTTGAACTGAACTGTACTGACCTAGAATTGAACTAGAACTGAACTAGAATTGAACTAGAACTGAACTAGAACTGTACTGACCTAGAACTGAACTAGAACTGAAATGGAACTGAACTAGACTAAACTAGAACTGATCTAGAACAGAACTAAACGAAAACTGAACTAGAACTGAACAAGAACTAAACTGGAGTAGAAATAGAAGTGGACCACATTTCAACTATAAACGAATTAGACCAGAACTACAACTGTTCTAGAACTGACCTGGAACTGAATTGGACCTGAACTAGACTTAACTAAGACTAAACTACAACTGAATTAGAACTGAACTAGAAATGGATAAGAACTGAACTAGAACTGAATTAGAACTAAACTGAAATAGAACTGAATTAGAACTAAACTTAACTAGAACTGAATTAGAACTGAACTAGAAGTGAACTAAAACTGAACTAGAACTGAACTACAACTGAATTAGAGCAGAACTAGAATTGGACAAGAACTGAACTAGAACTAAACTAGAAATGTGTTATCTCTAGAAAAAAATGCTTTAATAATTTTGTTTTTTTTTTTTCTTTTCACTGTTATTTTAAATGTTTGATTTGAAGTCCTTAGAGAGCAGATTCCTTTTTTACTTAGAAAATTGTATACATTTTTGTTTTTAATTTCCAAACTACGTTTAAAACTTACCTTATTTACTTAGTCCCTTATGAAAAACATTTTTAATATAAATTAAATTATAGGAATATCTCACTCGTTGTATTTTGAATAGATTAGATTTCACAGATAAAATAAATTAAAAATTAGATTTTTCTTAAATACATAGTTTCGTAATAAAGATACATTTGTTTTAAAACCAAATTAAATTTTAAAGCAATTAGAAAATTAAAACAAAACACAATTTGTTGGCTAAAAGTATTAAAATATTTAAAAATCTATAAAATGAAAAACATAAAACAAATTAAAATATTTAAATTAAAAAAAAATGCACTATGAAATTTAGCTTCCATTAAGCAAACGTAGATTGGGTATCAACCTTAAATCAGGAAATAATATCATTATGTAAAAGAAGTAAGAAAGTAGCAGCTGTTAAGGCTAATAGACAAACTTCTTAAGAGTTCTAATATTGGTATTGTTGGCTATAGAAAAATATCATTAGTTTTGTAATTTAGTTTCTTATTTGTTTTTTAAAGTAGCTGAGTAAAGCTTGTTAACATTAAGTTAATCCATTGCTTGTTGTGGCCGTTTTTTTAAAGAAAACTCTATCATATTATCAATATCGGTTATAGATTTCTTGGTTTTTTTCACATTCGAATCTAGTATTCTCAAGTTTGCAGTATAGTCGGGTAATTTATGTAAAGTCTGGGCCATTTCGCGAGCCAACTTTTTGGCCCTTTGCTGTAGCGATGCCGTGGAAGAGAAATTTGATTTTGGACTGTATTTGTAGTGATTGAAGTCTTGTAGTTCACCAAAATCTAATATATCCCATTCACCGGTCATCATATTCCAGGTGAATAAAACACGACACTCATATTCACGCCTGTGAAAAGCGCAACTTAGTTTACGTGAGCAGTTTAAACAGGAGGAAACTTCTTCGCGGGCCGAAAAGTGAGCCATTAAAATGCAAAATACCGTGAGGGAAGTGGGACAGACCTGCAGGTTAAAGAAATATATTAATTTTCTTATATTTTTCAATATTATATTTAATCAAATTTACATTTATCAATTCATAGGCCCAGTCATAAAAGAAATCATAGGTTTTCTGATTCTTTTGACACAACGTACTGATGGCATAGTAAGTAAAGGTTTCCATATCGAAAGAATGCTGCTCTATGACCACACTAGAACAGCGCAGCTGTTGATAGGACGCTTTGGAAATCATTTGCATTTCCGAGTAACAAGAGCCATGGACCTCCATGGGCAATAATATATGATAACCAGGTGATATGCAATCATCTGGAAATAAAAAATTTTAGAAAAATTTCTTTAATTTTCTATAAGAATTCTTTAACCCACCTTCTTCACTTGTTATAACCGAGGCGGCATCATCTTCTTCAACAAAACGTCTTAAAAACTTTTTTGTACACACAGGCTTTTCTGACATGGCACCGCCCTGAAGAGGCACTTCCACCACTGAACGATATTCATCCCGTCGTGGTGAGAGAAATACCGATAGCTGATGATTGGGTGACAGGGAACCGCTCACCTCTAGATGAGAACGTTTGGTCATGGACAATTGTAGAGGCGACAGGGTACCATGCGGCTTAAAACTTAACATATATTGCGTAGCAGGAGATATAGTATGGACGAAATTTTGTGGCGGGGACTTTTGATTGTTATAGAAATGATTGGCCACCAAATGACGGCTGGGTGAACGCATTACACCATTATTGCCACCAGCCATACCACCACTTGTTTGTGTTAACAGGCCCGACGTAGAGGGTGGAGATCTAAAGCCCAAAGGCGAAGTGCATGTACGATGTAAAGGTGATAAGGCAGCCGCTGTAGAGCCATATTGTGTACTCATGTGTTGCTGATGTGGATGAGGCGATGATGAGGGTGAGGCATAGGGCGAAATACTATGCAAATGTGTTAGATTGTGTCTGGGTGAATGACTTCCTGTGGTAGTGTTGCTTAAAAAGGAACTAAATGTACTGGAAGTTCTAGTCTTTGTAAAAGGTATTATGTTTTCGGAATTATCTTCTGAAAATTCATATTTACGATCAGCTAATCTACGTTTGCGCAATATAGAAATCTTTTCACATTTCTCATTCTCTTCCGAAAATTCATAGGCAGCAGCTTTGTCGTTATTGTTGTTAGTAGAGGAATTACTACCATTAGAGGAGGAAGAGGTATTGGGTGATGTAATATTAGCTTTTAAACCACTAGAGGAAAAGAATATGGAAACTCCCTTGCGAAAAGATTTTGTTACAATGCGATGTCTTTGCCGGGGGCCTTTTTGCATTAAATTGCTGTTATTTTTATTAACACCAACACCAGTTCCAACACCTCCAACATTACTAATATTAGAGGTTGTATTACTTCCTCCAGATCCTGCACTAACACCAATAGTAGAGGTTGTACTTCCACTACTTATAGATGCTGCTGCTGGTGACATGGCATTTAAACGACTAGTATTATTTGTATTGCAATTAAATATCAATTCCTCACACGATTTACGTGTTACTGATACAGGGGAATCATTTTGACTCGAACCAGGTGACCTTAGATTATTAGCCAATTGTGAAATACTAACCACCCCACTGCCAGAGTGCGTGGAATCTGTTTCTACATCAGCAAAATCTTCGATTATACGAGCCACTACATTGTTTTGTGAATTAGTTGATTGACTATCTATGCTAAAGGTGTCAGTTAAATCGGGTATGGGTGTACGTCTTTCTTGAACTTCCTGATTTGAAGTTGAGGCTGTTGCATTATTGTTACTAGTAGTTTCTCCTGCAATATGAGGTTTCATTATTAGAATTGATAATGAATTTTGTTGTAGTTGCGTTTGACTTATTGCACTTTGTTGGTGTTGCTGTTGTGAGATTTGCTTTTGTTGCTCCTTGGGAGCTTGTTCTAGTCTTATGTGTATCATATGAAAAAATCCGTTTGATATTAGTAGAATACGCTCGGGACATATTAAATGTATATTCGGATCAAATTTACGATCTGAATCGGTTGTGGAATATTTTGTATGCACAGTTAAATTACATTTTAGACAGAGGATGTGACGACGGAAAACTTCAAAAATAGAATTGTAAAGATATTTATTATTAATATTTGTAAAACACGAAAACTTCCAACTTACATCCATCATCTTCTTCAAATTCTCGCAGTTTTTTACATTCCAAACAGCCCAGTTTAGGAACTTTAACATAAGTTATATAAGAGTCTTCATTTTCATCCTCGGAAGCACCATGAACAATTAAAATGCGAGGATCACAATTTTTCCACTGGATCATGCTGACCTTTTTCATATTGTCAACACCATGATCATCGAATAGGCAGCATTTGTAAAAGTTGCGCAAGGGTTTAAAGGGCTGATAAACCCAGAAAAATAAACTAAAAAAACAAAACTCCTTCCATCAAATTGTACAAAAAAAAACTATAATAATAAAATACTTACGTGTACTTAAAACCCATACTAAAAGAATAATGACTAACAGAAGCATTGTCACTGCAGCAGAATTTGTAGCTTAACAAAAATTGGCCACAGGCAGAGAGACCCATAAATACTTGTCTATCGAACAAACATTAAAAAAAAGATAAAGTAAGGGATTCATTTTATTATTAGCATACATAAGCATTAAATCAAAAAAATATAAAAAACTCACCCTTGCAAACAGTTTGGTGGTATTATATCCTTAAGACAAAAAGATAATCTAGTTGGCACGTTTGTATAGAAAGACTTTCTACTCCTACTCTGGCCCATATACTAATAGGATTTTTGAAATTAACAACAATTTCCATATTATTATTCTTTTATGGCTTACCTCTCTTTTCATTAGTCTATTTGCTAAATTTTCTTGTATTGGAACATTTTTTATCTCCTCCTCCTTCCACCTGCTGACATGATCATATCTTATAGGACCTCTACGCAAGTGTTCTTCTTCCTCATCGGTCTCTGAACTTTCTGCTAAGGAGAATTCTTCCTCATCATCGTCGTCGGATGAAGATAAATCTATGTAACTACGACTACGGCCGCTGTGGTCCATTTCAGGATCCTGCTTTACTTGCTTGTATGTGTTATTGTTGTTGCTAATGTGTATTTTTCTTTTCAGTCTACCTTTTTGTTGCCTGTGTATTGAGTATGTTTTTGTGTTTTCTATTGCAGTTTTAAGCCATAAATATTAAAATTTATGGTTTTATTTTTAACACTTTCACTCCATGTTGTTGTTTTATCCTTTTCTACACTTTTTTCCCAAAATTTATTTATTTAATTTTAGGTTTATGTACTTTTTTTCCCCACAAAAACCAGTGACGCTTTCAGAGCCCTGCGTCGACAAATATTAACGGCGACGGCGACTGACACTGAATATGTCGGCGGCGGCTTAAAATCGACTGTAAGCCGGCTAAGTTTTCAACTACGTTTAGTTTTTAATTTTTCAACGATTTTAAATAAAAACGGAATCCGAGAGATCAGAAAGTAGGATTTTGGAAGCAAATATATTGTTTATAACAACAAAACAGAGCAAACTCAAAAGTTGCATGAGAAATTATGCAGGGATGAATAAAGCCCACAATGGTTAGTACCAATATTTTGCCCAAACAACATCTACATACCTAGCCAGGTTATATCCTCTAGATCAGTGAAGACATTCTCTACAAAGCTATAAATTTGTATAAAAGGCGGCTTAACAATTGTTTCTTGTAAATATTCGGCCACCATAGTGTTTGGAGAATATCGACAAGCTGTCCATATTTATATCATTTTTGTATATGTGTTGCCTTAAATTAAAGTTTCGCTAGGGACACGCAGTCACCTAGATCCCATAAGATATACACGTGTTCGTGTAGCGTGCATTGTGCAACCAAGTCTGCTTATTCGCAGTAACTCTCTCTCTCTAGCAACTTGAATGAGGTGACAGCGAGTGACAATTTGTGAAAATATTTCTACAAAGAATAATAAGAAGTTGGACTATGACATTGTTTTACAACAATAACATTTCCTTCTCTTCACAGACGAATTCTGTGTAAATTCAACACACTTGTGAGAACTCAATTCTCTCACAATACTTCAAAACTTTTTCGCGAAAATACCGGGATAATAGGACTTGAACGACGTTTTTTCACAAACACATAACTATTTTTTAATTTTTTACACAATTTTATCGCACTTAACAATCCGAAATATTTTTATTTTTCACAAACTAAAAAAATATTTTTTTAATTTTTTTGACAATTAATTTTTGTGTGTTGAAATTAAAATTGACAAAACAAAGTTGTATATTTAGGTATTGAAAATGAAAAAATTATTTAAAATAAACTTATTTTTTTGCAAAAAAAGAGATTTTAAGTCCGAAAAATATATTTATTAAATGTTTACTGATTAGATGTGGGCAAAATAAATTAAAAAATCTGCGAATGTAGAAATTTAAATGTTATTTATTTTGCCTAAAATTTTTATGTACGATTTTATGCAAGTATGTATGTTTGGAAAGTGTGGTGAAAGTGGTTGGAGCTCCAATACTAATACAAAAATTCTACCAGTACATACTTAGAGTTAGGTACCGAATGACAACTCCTTTACGTACCAACTGACAAGCCCCAATTTCTTTATATTCTTTGTATTTCTATGTGATTTCAAGAAATGTCAAGTTTTTTTCATATGTGATTTGACATTCTGGAATCTCAAAGATATCTGTATGATTCTCACACAACAAAATACGACTTTTATAAAACATTACAATGACAGGGTTGTTTTAGTTCGCAGTCACAGAGCTGTATTGTTTTTGTGGTATACTGTTAAATTTAAATTTGAATAAAAATGAAAGGCAGAACGTTAAAAAATTTTTTTAAATGTTATTATGCTGAAATATTAAAATAAATATAAGATATTCTGAATGTATTTAATAAATTTTTAGATATATTTATTTTTCTTATTAATTATTTCTTTTAAAAATTAACTTGAAATCACAATGAACATCTCTGTCTTATTGTAAAAAGTACCTATTTTTACAACTAAGCGCAAAACAGAAAAAAATACAAATTTCAAAACAAAATAAAAACTAAGAATTTTTATTCAATTTGTGCAAAAAATTTAAAATAAATGTTTATATTAGTGTTTAAATGTTTAAAGTACAAAATTTTAGATGAAAGAATGTTTTGTCGTTTAAGCAAAATGTCAGACGATAAAAAATTGAAAAAGTGGGTCTAAAGGTAATATCTACATTAAAGCTTATTTATCTTGTTAAGAATTAGTTGAATCCGATGAGATATTTTTCAAATTAAAGAAAATCCTTTAGAAACTTTAAAACAAATATTTTTGAAAAAGAATTTTGAGATCAAAACTTCGTTTTTTAAAGTATATGCCAATATATAAATTGATTTTCAATATATAAAATTATTCTTTATTGAATTATGTTTTTAAATTATATTAATTTTTACTTTAAAGAAACACTTTTTATATCAAAATAATTGTTTTTATTAAAACACGGCTTAAACTAAATCAATAAATATAAAATAAATTCTATTCATATAAATGCAATTGATAAAAAATCATTTAACCAAACTTTAATAGAAACTTAATTCTTTGCATTCTCAAATGTATCAGTCGATTTTGCGTCTGTCTTGTTTTTAAAGTTTTGTAAGTTTGGATCTGTTTTTGTAGCGTCAGTTACATTATTTAAATCTGTCAAAGTCGCAGTTAAAGTCGTGTCCTTTAAGGAATCAGCTTTTAAATTAATTATTTTAGTAATAGTTTTGTCTGTTGCATTTCTATGGTCTGTTCGCTGTTTCAGGTTGTCCTCTGTTTGTGTTATCAAATGTCCTATAGGTCCTTGAAATTGTAAAGCTACTTTTTGTTTAATCTTAGCCAAGTCTAACCAAATATTTTCTTTAAAAGGTTTTGGTAACTCTGCTGAGGGTACAGGATCCATATTAATTTCCGGTATTTGTGGTAGCATAGGTTCTTCCTCTTTAGGGGAATCGAAAAATACCCAATTATCGGGTCTGTAAAAATATAAAAATATATTATTTTATATTATATAATTAAATTTAAAAAAAGTTAAATATTTTCTGAACCTACCTTTCCGGCTTTGTTAAGATATTAATGGGAGCAAAAGCTATCTTAGCTTGATTACGCTTGTTGTTCTTATTTTTATTACGATTTCTATTTCGTTTATGTGGTCCTACAGTTAAAACATTAGCTTTATCTTGTGGTTTAGTTCCAGTGTCTTTTGTATTGTCCTTGTGGTCCTCTTCATTGTCCTCGGCCAAAATGTCATTGTTTAATTGCTTTGCCAGAGCGTCGGGAAAGTCTGTTGAAAAGTTGGTATTTAAAGGTTTAGGCAAGTCTTTGGGTAAGTCATGGCTATTGTTCAATACTGGTAAAACATAATTATCGTCTAAAGTCTGGTCTTGCAAAATAGTATGTGTTAGATTTGTCAAGTCCACTACAGTCTTGTCATTGTCTATTTTCAATACTGTACCAATCATATGTTCGGGTCTAAGATAACCATCTTGATTGAATTTTCTAAGTAAAGGTGATGTCCCGTAATCTTCGTCGTATTCATAGTCTTCTTCCGCGTCTAGACTGTCTTCGTTTGTTGTTATGTTGTGTAAAGGTTCTAGAGTACGTCCGGCATAGTCATAGTCGGCTAACTCATGTGTTTGTGTCAGAGTCAAAGCTTCTTTATGTCTTGGTCCATTTTTCTTGCGTATGTAGTAAGTTTGTGAGTTGGAAGTGGAAAATGGACTGTTTATATTTTCCCTGTGTGGCAGTTCGTGTGTAGCAATTTGTTCTCCTGCTGCTAGAGGTAAATTTGTATAGTCCGGGTTTTGTGCATACCAGGGATGTCGGGGTGGTACTGTTAAGCCATAGTTTCCTCCATTGCCTGTCGGTCTAACATTTTGCGTTCTATCCGGTTTTGGTCTTATGTTAAAACTGAAAGTACTGTCTGCTCCGTTGGCATTGGTAAATCCAGCTATAGTTCCAAAATTTCCATTGCTAACTGAGGCACTTGATGCCTGTACTATGCCTCCAGTACCCACTTGAGCTTGACTAAAGCTGGAACTAACAGCCGGTAATGTTAGCTGATTGGGTGGCTTTAAATTTTGAACATTAGCTGTGCTATGGGGACTTGAAATAATATTCTCAAATAAGGGTCTTTCATTGAAGCCTATAGAGGCTGGTAAAGGTCTTTTGGTGGCCAAACTCCAACCCACTATACTTTGTAAAAAACCCGGTTGTTTAGTGGTCATGCGTTCTTCATGTTCGTTTACAAATATTATGGTCGGTGGTTTAGTTCGTTGATTTTGTGCAATAGTTGAAATTTGTGTCGGTGCCGGTGCCGGTTGGTAGTAGGCGTAAATGGGTGTAGTCTGATAACGGTCATATTGACTTGGTTTATAGACATTTGTATAGTCTCCCGTATAGGGTGTGTTTTGTAAAGGTTTCGGACTTTTATTGGTCTGTCGTATGTTTATTTCGATTTCGTACTGATTGTCTCCATTTACCGAATCCACTATAACTTTTTGAGGTGTCTTGGTGTAGGTGGGTCTGTTCTGGTATTGTCGAAGTTCTAGAGGTCGTACAGTTGTTCGACTGGGTTTTGGTAGTTTTGTTGTCAATGTTCGATTGCCGGTATTAACAGAGGTTATATTTCTGTTGGTCACACTTAGGTTGGTAGGCGTAAGTTTCAATTTGTCTTTAATTTTGTCCGTTATGCTAGAGGGTATAAGTTTTCGTTGTACTCGTTTGTGTTCGATGGGTATAGCCTGAACCATGGGATCAATGTCAGAATCATTTGCTTCATGTACCAAGTCTCCTGTTAAAGTTAAGTTTTTCAGTTCAGAGTTTTGTAAAGTTTTTGTAATTGTCATAATTTTTTCGATTACTTGGGTCTGTTTATCAGTTACACTGGCAGATGTTTCGGTTTCAGTAGGATTTAAAGAGTCGCTTTGTTCATGTTGGTCGTTATCGATTTTTGAATTTTCAGTTTTGTTTTGTTGCCGTTCATTGGTATTTAAATTATTTGTCTCAGTCTCTTCATTTGTCCTTGTCTTTATGTCCCTGTCAGTTGAATCCGTATTTTGTACTTCCGTTTTTATGTTTGTATTTTCTAAGTGATCAGTTCGTTTTAGGTCCTTCTTTTGTTCCTTTAATGTTTCATCTACTTCATCTACCCTTGCTTCCAATTTAAGACTTTCCTCCACTGCTTTTGTCACTTTGTCTTCAGTCTTGTTTGCCGAGGAACTAAGTTCCGTATTTCCTGTCCTTGCTTCTGGTTCATTTTCCTTTTTTTTAGTTGTAGTCTTAGCTGTGTCTTTTCCTGCACTTCTCAGTTCTAT